TTTTTTTTTTTTTTTTTTTTTTTTTTTTTTTAATGTCTAGATGCTTCCTGGCCTATGTGGCTTCAAAATCTGGCGAATGTCTTGGCTGCACATGGTCTTGATACAGGGTTACAGGCCCTTTCCAAAGTAGACATCATTGTCTCCTAAGTACCATGAGGCCATATGAGATTTTTCATCTTTGTGAACCAATTCCCCAGGTTCCTATATCACCCCAGCACTCAGCAAATGTCCCCTGGAGACATTTGTCTTGCCTATGCAGGTATAATTCTCAGCCCTGAATCTGCAACTGCAGAATTATTTTCCAAAACGAATTACACAGGAAACCTATAGGAAAGAAAATGGTCAGTGATTTTTGCTTACCCTAGGATTGGTTCTTCCCTTCCTGGAATGTCAGTTCCTTTAGTCTTCATTGCTTTCATGATTTCTGATATCTTAAAAATAAGATACAAAGGTTTTTTTAGTTGTTGCAGTAGGAACAATACATTTCTCCTACCCACGACATCCTGTTTGAAAGTGGAAATCCATTTGTAGGTTCCCTTTTATGTTTTCTGTGAACTCAATAAAATCATCTGCAAATAATGACATTTCTTCCTTTCCAGTCTTTTTCTTGTTATTTTGACCAAGAACTCCAAATCAGTGTTAAATAGAAGGGATAGCAGACATCTTTTTTGTTTTTTGATCTTAGCATGAAAGCTTTTAGTATATCACCATTCAGTTGTTTGGTATTTGTTTATTTAAATATCCTTTTTTCAGAAGTTCTGTTCTTAATTTGCTACGAGTGTTTAAGCATGAATGGATATCAAATGTTTTTCTGCTTTTGGGGGAGGTATTATATTTTTTTCTTTCATTCTGTCAGTGTTGTGATGTACATTAATTGGTTTTCAAATATTTAAACTGAAGTGCTAGACTAAATCTAGCTTTATTGTGATGTATTATCCTTTGTTTGTAGTACTAAGTTTGTTAATATTTCTATTCAAGTTTTACATCTATGTTCTTGAGTAAGATTAACACATACTTTTTTTTCTCATAATTTTCTTGTCAGGATTCCCATAAAGATTATGTTGGCCTCGAAAACTAGTTGGGAAGTGTTCCCTCTTTTTGTAGTCTCTGGGATAGTTTGTATAAAATTGCCATTATTGGCTCCTTAAATGTTTGGTAGAACTTACTGGTGAAGATGTCCAGGAATGGAGTTTTCTTTGTGGAAAGGCTTTGAATTAGATTTGGGTTCCTTAAGAATTTTAGGATTTTTTTTTAGATGGAGTCTTGCTGTGTTGCCCAGTCTAGTCTTGAACTCCTGGGCTCAAGCAGTCCTCCTGCCTCGGTCTTATGCATAGCCAGAGCTATGGGTGTGTGACACTGTACCTGGCAATAATTTTAGGGCCATTTATATCTTCCATGTCTTCTAGTGTCAGTTTTGATAAGTTATATTTTCATGGGAATTCTTTCATTTTATATAAATCTTCAAACTTAATGGCACTAACTTACTGATAGTAGCTATCAGTGGAATGAGCTTAGAAGTGTATTTTTTGAAAGAGAAAAACATGAGGTCATGCAAGTACTTTCAATTCAAATTATTATAGGGTTTTTACTTAATTATCTCAGTTTTATATATTTTTTCCTTATGCTAAAAGTCTTTTTTTTTTTAGCCCTGGAAAATTAAAGCAATTAATTCAAAAGGTCTTGATTCTTAATGGCATTAACATGATTACTCAAGTGCCTTATCTGTAATACACGTGTATTTATTAATTTCAGAATAACAATGCCAGTATTAAATATTTTTTTTAATTTTGTTTTGTTTTAATGTTAAACATTTCCATGGTGCCAAAGTCAAAACTGTAAAAGCAAAGTATTGTCAGGGAATTCATACCTGACCTCTCCACCTACCATTTTCTCCCATTGGTGTTTTTTTTTTTTTTGGTAGGTAAGGGAGAGACAACTATATAAGCAAGCATATATAGACATGTAAATATGTGTGCATGTATATATGTATGTATTTATATTTCTTCTCCAAGTTTCTTCTTCATATTTCTTATACAAAATATTCGACCTGTACATACTCTTCTGCACCTGGCCTTTTTTTTTTTTTTTTTAACTTAAGTATATCTTGAAGATTGCTCCTTAGCAGCATACAGAGATGTTTTTTATTCTTTTATATTACAGCCTAGTACTTCATTTTATGGGTGCCATCCTTTATTCAGCCAGTCTACTATTGATGGACATTTGGAGAAATAGTAATTTATTTATTTATTTTTTTTTTTGAGGCAGGGTCTTACTCTGTCACCCAGGCTAGAGTGTAGTGGCACAATCTTGGTTCACTGCACCTCCGCCTCCCAGGTTCAAGAGATTCTTATGCCTCAGCCACCAGGTATAGCTGGGATTACAGGCATGTGCACCAGACCTGGCTCATTTTTGTATTTTTAGTAGAGACATGGTCTTGCCATGTTGGCCAGGCTGGTTTCATAAACTCCTGACCTCAAGTGATCCACTTGCCTCCACCTTACAAAGTGCTGGGAGTACAGGCATGAGCCTCTGGGCTCAGCCAAAATAGTAACTTTTAAAAAGGCATTTTCCATTCTCAAGGCTACAACCTGTAGTGTTGGCCAGTAGAGCTATTTGATCTAATTTTTAAAAACTTTTTGTTTATACATCATGCCAAAATTCATTTTATGGCTAGACACAGTGGCTCACAGCTGTAATCCCAGCTTTGGGAGGCTGAGACAGGAGGATAGGTTGAGTTCAGGAATTCATGACTGACCTGGGCAACATAGTGAGATCTCATCTCTACAAAAAAAAAAAAAAAAAATTTAAGATTAGCCAGGCGTGGTGGCATACACATGTTGCCTGAGCTACTCTGGAGGCTGAAGTGGGAGGATTGCTTAAGTCCAGGAAGTTAAGGCTGCAGTGAGCTCTGATTGGTGCTGTTGCACTCCAGCCTGGCTGACAGAGCAAGACCTTGCCTTAAAGAAAAAAAAATCAAGGTTTCTTTTTAAATGATTTCTCAGGTTATTCATCATTGTAAGTAGGACAACCACAAGTCTTTTTGCCTTATTTCAGGTGTCTCTATTTTGTTTAAAAGGCTGCTGCTTGTTTATGGTACCATTCTCTCATTTCTCAATTTGTAGTACCAATTTAATCTCATTAAATCCTTGCTTAGGTAATAGGAACCATCATCTTTATAACACCCCAAAGACATAGTCTCTCCTTGTAATTTATCAGGTTGAAAAAGGGCTTATAGTTGGTATGTATCTATTATTCATCTGCTTCAAGGAAGTACCAACTCCTAAAGCAGATTATTGTCTGTGTTAATTATGTATAAATTAAAATGTCTTATTTCAGATTTCTATGATTTGAGGAATAAAGCATTCTTCTCAATCTCAATATGACCAGTTGTTTCCATTGTTTATTCATATTTGTCTTCTGTTTAAATAATTTTAGTAATCAATCATGATTTCTACTTTATAAATCCACATGGAGTATGCCAAAGTGTTATTTAGACTTAGTTTGCCAGAATGTTATATAATCTTTTCTCCAGCCTCCCTTCTGATAGCTCATATTCCATTTTAACCTCTAATATGCTTTTAGTATTTTTGATTGCTTATACTAGAGAGAATAAAGTACAACCTTGACTTATCAAAATATTGTAAGTACTTTTGCCTGTCTCTTCCTGGACCATGCAAAGACTTTAGAATGTAATTCATCTTCTGCTTACCTCCCCTCCCCAGTTCATATGCTGCTGTCATGTATTTTAATGTCTGTTGAACCCCATAAGGCATTATTATTATTGCTGCTTTTTATAGTCATTATTCATGTGCCATGCTTACTGTGGCATGCGTTGTATTACTTAATTTAATGCTTAAGACAATCTTATGTGGTAGAAATGATTATTCTTATGTAATAGATGAGAAACGAAGGCATGGAGAGTTTATGCAATTTACATGTTCACATGGCCAGTAAGTCACAAATTAGGATTTAAACCCAGTCCAGACTCTGGTCTCTTAACTAATGTAAACTCAAGTCATGATTATTATTATTTTTTTCTCTCTCTCATTGAAAAACAATGACTTGAAACAAAAAGTTCTCACTAAGCAATTGTAAGATTTTTTGGCTGTTAGGCTAATGGGCTCACCCGGACTATATATGAAGGTAAATAACTTTTTTCATTCTTTTAGCTGACATAGCCCAGAGATACAGGATAAGCAAATACCCAACCCTCAAATTGTTTCGTAATGGGATGATGATGAAGAGAGAATATAGAGGTCAGCGATCAGTGAAAGCACTGGCAGATTACATCAGGCAACAAAAAAGTGACCCCATTCAAGAAATTCGGGACTTAGCAGAAATCACCACTCTTGATGTAAGTTGTAACTTTTGCTAGATTAAATGAACATTGCCTGATTAATTAATGTAAACATTCTAATGCAAACAAAAAATCTGGACATTCTCCTATAGTTTATTTTAATGGATTTGACATACATAATGAGTTGAATGTTTTTGAATTAATCTCAAGAGAAATGCTTATGTTATACTGAACTTCTGGATAAAAGATACTGCATACAGTAAAGTTGTATTAATTTGAATTAATTGAGCACAAAGGAAAGCCTCAATTATAAAGAAATGGAAGTTAAAGTCAAGCATATACAACCACAGCTTCTGTATTTTTCTTGTGGAGACCTTCAAGGTATCTCCTGTAATCACTCTTGTATTAGCTCTTTCTAAAGTTTTAATGTCCTCTAAAATAGCTTCTTAATAATTAGTTTAGCACACTCCTTTCTTTGTACACTAGGTAGTGTTTTAAAGATAACAAGCAACAACAAAAGCAAAAACAATTGTGTTGGTTACTAATTGTCACTGTCATTGGTGACTAACACAGTCATCAATCAGCAGTGTCAGGTTTGAGATTTGATTTTACCCTACTTGCAAGCTAAGCGAACCGATTACCATTACATGGATTCTATTAGAAGACATGAGACTCCTGGATCAGAGACAAAAGACTTTATTACCCACATCACAGCAAGCAGTGTGAGCATGTTTGCATTTGTTTCCTTGCCTTCCACATCCTATGGAGGCAACACATAACCCACTGCACATGCAGGTAATGTCACAGGAGAGAGACACTGGGTTTAGGGAACTCACTGTTTCAGAGCAAGCAGTAACCCTGCTGTTTGTCCTGTCAGAAGGCATTACCTCATATCTCAGTGTTGCTTGCTGCAAGCACAACTCTGAGAAATGGCCTGGATAGAGAGTAGTTAGTCAGGGTCTCGCCTTTTTTTAGTATACCCAGTAAGATGGGTAGGAGTGTGAGAGGCCATGGAGAAGTCTCTCTGAGAGTCACAAGTTACGATTTATACATTGTTTTAACACATTTTAGAATTAGTATTCTTACTTAGGAAAAGATTGTCACTAATCAACTAGTTCTCTATTTCTTAAAAATTTAAAATGCAAGAAGGAAATATTTATAATTATATTTATTACAGTTAAGATTGTTTTCAACCCAATATAATCTTTAATCGTTTTGGACTAGGTTTTGAAAACTAAATAGCCAAAGAAACAAAACAAAAAAATAAAATAAAAACTATGCATTTATAGTCATACTTCATTTGAACAATAATTTGATCTATTTAGGTACTAAGATAAGGGGTAAATGAAATAACATGTTTATGAAACTATATGTTTGCAAAATTAGATACTTTCTTTTACAGCGGGGCAAAAGAAATATCATTGGATATTTTGAGCAAAAGGACTCGGACAACTATAGAGTTTTTGAACGAGTAGCGAATATTTTGCATGATGACTGTGCCTTTCTTTCTGCATTTGGGTAAGTATCTTAAAAGTGTGTTAATGGGTTGGTTTGGCTGACAAGTTAAATTCCTGTTTTATTTGGTCATTTTCTGAAGATGATCTCTCCAAAGATGATCTCAGTCCTTTTTTTTTTTTTGGATTCTGGGCAACAAGCGATTCTCCTGCCTCATCCTCCCAAGTAGCTGGGACTACAGGCATGCGCCACCACACCCAGCCAATTTTTTTATTTTTAGTAGAGACGGGGTTTCACCGTGTTGCCCAGGCTGGTCTTGAACTCCTGAGCTCAGGCAGTCCGCCTGCCTCGGCCTCCTAAAGTGCTAGGATTATACTCTCTGTCCTTTTAAAATGACCAAGCGGTCTTTATACCTGTCTCTGAATTCTTTTTAAGGGTTTAAAAGTCTGTTCTTTCTATAGTATTATCTATTTCAGAATGTGAGTAAGAGGGAAAAAATGGACAAGTTAACCATTAACTCATTCATGCTTTTATTCAACTAATTTCTTAACACTTATCCTTTGTCAGGCAATATGCTAATCTGTGGGGTTACCACACTGAAACAACATACCGTTTTTCTTGTTAAGCATGAGTTTTATCGTCTTCATTCATCTCCGTTTCTCCACCACATTTTCTTACACCTTCCCTGTCTCAGAGGAACAATTCTTTCTAAGTCTAACCTCTTCACTGGTGTCCTTGTAACTGTCCTTTCAAACTCCTCTGGAGCTTTGATACATCAGTTGTTCCTGCTTTCTTATGTTTTCAACCTGACCCTTTTCACGAACTGCTTTCCTTTTCTGATAACATGTTTCTTTCTTTTCTGACCTGCTTCTTCTATCTCTTAAGCTATAATCTCATTTTTCTTTCAATTCTTTTTTTTTCCCAAAGATTAGTTTATGCCTGGCTACTTTGATTTTCTCAAACTCTAATCAGTAAAAAACCTTAACCTTTTGGAAGCTGACTTTCACCCTCCGTTGCTCTAATGAAACTTGTCTCTACACAGTCACAAAATGACTTCTTAATTACCAAATCAAGTGGCCTTTTAAACATCTTAATACTTTTCAATTCCTCTGAAGGGTATGATAATCAACTACCTTTTCCATTTTTTGCTGTGTCAACACTTACATTTGAACCCCTTGTTTGCTCCTTTCCTGTCTGAATTCTCTGACTTTATCTCCTTTTTTTTTTTTCTCAAGATGCAGTCATTTTTGTGGCTCTGTTCTTGACCCTCTCTCCTCATTGGAGGTTATCTCAACCATCCTTTGACTTCCATGCAGTATTATTTCTCTTTTCATTGGGTCATGACTGTTAGGCTCAATTGTAGTTGCCATCTTGAGTAGAGCCCAGATTTGTGGCACAGCATATCCTCCATTTTTTGACCTTTATTGTTTGTCCTTGCTCTAATGCTTTTTAAAGATTTTGTTTGTATATTGTATTGTGTGCATTATCAGTTTCTTATTTTTTGTTTTTTAAGCAAAGAGGTCTCACTGTGTTGCCCAGGATGGTCTTGAACTCCTGGCCTCAAGTGATCCTCCTGTATCTGCCTCTAAAACTGCTGGGATTACAGGCATGAACCACTGTGCTCAACCCATATTTATTAAATGCTGCAAACACACTTCTGCACCAGAGCCTTTGACCTTACTGTTCCTGTATCTGGAAGTGCTTCTCCCAGGTGTCATCTCATCAGAAAGTCCTTGCCTGATAACCTTATATAAAGTAGCACTACCATCATTTAATTTGTCATTCTTTATCTACTTATTCCACTTTTTCTTCATAGTACTTTTTTGTAACCACCCAAGATAAATATATCTACTTCTTAGTCTGTCTTTACTCACCAAAATGTAAACTCCATGAGAGAGAGAGTTTTGTTAGTTTTGTTCACTCCTGTTTACTCAATGCCAACACCATACCTGGTCAAAGGAAACACAGAGTAAATAGTTAATGAATTAATTAATTAATTAATGGAACATATTCTTTCTGTTTCTGTCATCAATCTAGGTTAGCACCCCTTCCCCCATCTCCTGGACTACTCTAGTTAGAAACTGGAGATAAATCAGTGTTCAATTAATCTAAAAATAATTGATTACAAAAATAATCTGTTGTAGTAGTCATTCTAAAAATGTTTATTGAGCAGCTGTTATGTGCCAGATACTGTACTAGGTTTAGGAAATAACAATTGACAAATAAACAAAAAATTACTTGATTTATGTAAAAAATTATCTATTATTTATGATTCTTTTGTATCACCAGTAGATTTTCTGGGTTCATGGATGGTTTTAAGAATGTACTTTTTAGCCTGAGCAACTTATGGAACTATATTTGAGTGATGTGGGTTATTTCCTTTTTTTTTTTTTTTTTTTTTTTTTTTTTTAATTAGTCCATGTGACCAAACCAATGATCTTGATCCCTAGTTGCTAGAAAACAGCCTGGGGTCAAAAACAAACTTTTAGTGCTAAAACTTCCAATCTAAACTGATACAGAACACAAAAACAACTAACTAACATTTTCCTTTAAAAAGTCTGCCTCATTTTAAAGATTTTCTTTAAATGTTTGCTTTTCTTCGTATTGCATAGTCTTACAATAGGAAAGATTATTGATAAGTATATATTTGTCTGTAATTCATACATTGCAAAATTCTGTCATTCAGATTTATTACTATTTCTCCTTTCCTATAGGGATGTTTCAAAGCCAGAAAGATACAGTGGAGACAACATAATCTACAAACCACCAGGGGTAAGTTGCTATTTCTTAATGTGTATGATAAGATATAATTTAAATACATGTATAACATGTTTTAAATGTGTTAATGTTCACAGAATCATAGAACTTTAGAATTGAAAGTACCTTTGAAGCATCATCTTATGCTAATCTAAACCCTTCAGAATGAAGATGGGACCACAGAAGTCTAAAGTCACACAGGCATTAGAGTGTCAGAGCTGGTATAGGGATCCCCTGACTCTCAGGCCTTTTCTACCTTTCTGGTATTCAGTTTGGGAGCCAAATTTTAAAAATGCTCCAGTTGTCCGTGATCGTCACTTCTACCTATATTGTACAAGCCAAACTCCCAAATCTTCTGGGGTATAAATTTACTAGGTACCTTCCAGATAATAAGGAATAGCTAAGTTGTTTTGAACCTGTGGGGTAAGAAGTTTTAAGTAGCTCCTTAGGCCCTAACAGGTGATGGTAGCCATAAATAAGAGGCAAAAGTCATAGTATGTGTTATCCCAAATTCACCAAGGGTCTGCCATTGCAATTTTTTTTTACATACAAAAAAAAATGGAAATTTATAGATTTTTTTAAATTAGTAGTTTTCATTTGAATGTTTATGGGGTTTTGACACTGAGATTTTGAATTTTTATGCAGTCAGATAAATGAATTTCTTGCTTAGAAAATATCCTACTTTGAATTCACCTAGGTGTTTGCCTATATTTTTTGCAAGTGCATTTCTTTAAGTAGCTTACCTTAGTATCATCATCTCTAGATTGTCAATCCAGTACATATCTCCCAATGTAGTGTGGTTGTTCAGAGGATGGGTTCTGGTGGCATCAGACTGGATTTGAACATCAAATGTGCCACCTTCTTAGGTATGTTACTCTGGGAAAGTTTCTTCACTTCCCTGTGCTTCACTTTCCTAATTAGTAAAAGTGGGATGATAATAATAGTACCTGCTTTATAGGGATGCTGGGAGGATTAAATGCATCAACACATGTAAAATGCTTACAACCATGCTTAGACACATTAAGTTTACTCAATAATATTAGCTATTATTGTTATCATTTGAGACACTTCATAATGATTTTGAGTTAATGTGGAACAAGATATGTAGGTAATAAAAGTAATAAGTCTTGCCTTACATTCATATAGCATCTTGCATTTTTCAAGGCCTTTTCACTATTCATAGTTTCTTCTAAAAGAAGAATTTTTCAGCTCTAAGGAGGAGCTAAATTAATTCATTTGGAGAATTCTTCATTGCAATTGCCTTCCTGCCTTTGATGAAGATACTGATAAAGAGTTAATTGACCTATATCCAAGGAAAAGCAATAGGCTTGGGTGTCACAGGTTGGATTTTTATCTCCCTGGTAATCACAGAATTATCTGCCTTTTACCACCTATGATTCGCTTTCTTGGAAGTTCTATAATTTATGATTCTTCTGTATCACCAGTAGATTTTCTGGGTTCATGGATGGTTTTAAGAATGTACTTTTTAGCCTGAGCAACATAACAAGACCCCATCTCTGCATAAAATAAAATAATTAGCTTGGCGTAGTGGCACACACTTGTAGTCCCAGCTACTCTGGAGGCTGAGGTAGGAGAATTGCTTGAGCCTGGGAGGTCACGGCTGCAGTGAGACATGATCGTGTCACTACTCCAGCCTGGGTGACAGAGTGAGACCTGCTTTAAAGAAAAATAAATACAATGTACTTTTGCCAGCACAGGTTAATTTTTTTTTCCTGTTTTGTAATAGCATTCTGCTCCGGATATGGTGTACTTGGGAGCTATGACAAATTTTGATGTGACTTACAATTGGATTCAAGATAAATGTGTTCCTCTTGTCCGAGAAATAACATTTGAAAATGGAGAGGTATGGGCTTTCTACTGTGTATTATTACTTTAAATGTCCGAAATCACGAGCTTCCTCCACCTGTCTTACTGTGTTAACAGTTATCAGTTGTAAGAATCAAATAGTGAATATAACTATATCATAGCTATTTCTGTAATATAAGCCAGTGATTCTTTACCTTTGCTGTCCCAGAACCCCTTTGTTATATTTTCACTAATAGCAGTAGTTCACTACAGCCTTGAAAATGAGTTTGAAAATGCCTTTCAGGTGATTCTGATGCCCAGCTGTTGGTTGAGGATTCTGTTTAGGTGGATGTCCTTTAGAACAAGGGTCCTCAGTCCCTGGGCGGCGGACCAGTACCAGTCCATGGCCTGCTAGAACAGGGCTGCCCAGTGAGAGAGCATTATGGCCTGAGCTCTGCCTCCTGTCAGATTAGCAGCAGCGTTAGATTCCTATACGAGTGTGAACCCTGTTGTGAACTGCACATGGAGGGATCTAGGTTGCATGTTCCTTATGAGAATCTAACTAATGCCTGATGATCTGAGGTGGAATAGTTTGATCCCAAAATCAAACTATTCCCCCACCCCAATTGGTGGAAAAATTGTCTTCCATGAAACCAGTCTTTGGTGCCAAAAAGGTTGGGGACCGCTGCTTTAGGAGCAATGCTTTGCTGATTTTAGTTGGAATTATTTGTATACAATGAATAATCCTTTGGCACTAAAAGATTTTTCTGTTTTTTTTGTAAAGCAGTTATGTTGTCTTTAATGAAAGCGGTTATCAGTGATCATGTAACTGACTTCAGTCATCCATGTATCTGAAATCAAGCCCATCAAAATTTGTACAACTCCCACAAAAACAAAACTCCAAAACCTGAGAGGCTAGAGGAACAAGTATAAAGAGTTATGTCTGTAAGGACCTCTCTCCTTTCTTTACTTTGTTAGACATATATTCAATTTCAGGTCTTTTTTTTTTAAACCAATGGCCTAAGAATGCAAGTTTTTAAAAACTTTGTAAAATGTATATGTATGCATATACATTTCAAAGAATTGGAAGTGTATAAATCACAGTTGAAATATCTGACCTCCCAAAATTATCACAGAGTAAACATATCCATATAATCACTATTTAGGGTGGTGGACCAAATATTTGTTTGTCTGAATATTCATATGTTGAGATCGTAATCCCCAGTGTGATAGTATTAGGGAATGAATCCTCCATTCATGAGATGGACTTCTCATGAATGGTGTTAGTGACCTCATAAAAGAGACCTCAGAGAGTTCTGTAGCTCTCTTTCTACCATGTGAGGATACAATGAGAAGCAGGCAGTCTGCAACCTGGAAGACAGCCCTCATTAGAACTGACCATGCTGGCACCCTTATTTTGGACTTCCAGCCTCCAGAAGGATGAGAAACGAATTTCTGTTATTTATAAGCTACCCAGTTTATGGTACTTTAATATAGCAGCCCAAACTAAGGCAGAGAGAGGGTGGACAATTTTTTTCAGCAAAGGACCAGGTTTGTTGTATGATAGGCTTTGTAGTTCATATAATCTCTGTTGCAGCTACTCAGCTTTGCAGTTGTGACACAAAAGTAACCTTAAGACAATATGTAAACAAATGAATGTGGCTGTGTTTCAATAAAGCTTTATTTCTGGACACATAATTTTCACATGAAATATTAAAATTTTTTCCCAATTATTTAAAAATGTAAAAAACCCTATGCTGTGGCTCACACCTGCCATCCTAGCACTTTGGGAGGCCCAGGAAGGTGGGTCACCTGAGGCTGGGAGTTCAAGATCAGCCTGGCTAACATGGTGAAACCCCATCTCTACTAAAAATACAAAATTAGCTAGCATGGTGGCGGGTGCCTGTAATCCCAGCTACTCGGGAGGCTGAGACAGGAGAATGACTTGAGTCCAGGTGGTGGAGGTTGCAGTGAGCTGGGATCTGCCACTGCACTCCAGTAACTGCACTCTGGACAACAGAGTGAGACTCCGTCTCAAAAAAAAAATAAAAAAAGTAAAGGCCATTTTTAGCTTGTGGACCAAACAGAATCAGGCAGCAAGTCAGATTTGACGCATGGCTGTAATTTGCCAATCCCTGAGATAGGTCAAGAAATAAAATATTTCCAAACCCCTTGTCTTCTCAATCATTACCCCATTTACCATCTTCTTAATCACCATAGCTATTTTGAATAGGGCTATCTGAAGTTTTTCCTGTTTTTGAAACTGAAATGGAATCATGCCGTTTGTTCCTGGCTTCTTTCACTCAACTTTATATTTATGGAATTCATTCATATTGCATGAAGCTGTAGTTCATTCATTTTCATGCTGAATATAATTCCGTTATATAAATATAACACAATATATCCAATCTACTGTTGGTGGACATTTAGACTGCTTCCAGTTTTTGACTACTGTGAATAATGCTGCTATGAACATTCTTATATATGTCTTTTGGTGAATATATGCACAGATTTCTACTTGATATATATACCTATGAATAGAATTGCTGAGTCATAGGGCATATATACATTCAACTTTAGTGGATGATATCAGTTTTTCCAAAATGGTTTTAGCAGTTTACATTCCTACCAGTAGTGTATCAAAGTTCACATTGCTCCACATTCTTACTGACATTTGACATCAGCCATTTACATTTTTAATCTATTTTGGTGTATGTGTAGTAGAGTCTCATTGTGGTTTTAATTTGTATTTCCCTGATGATCAGTGGGATTGAGCACTATCAGTTGCCTTTTCTGGAAAGACAGATGGTCTAGGAGAAAAGCAGCTTCAAATGCCATGCTTAATGTTCTGGGTTTCCTTCCATTCCAGTCTTGGCCCATAATTTCTTTCCTATTTTTTTTTTTTAAACTCTTGGATGCTTTCAAAAGGTGTTTTATTATTATTATTACTCTGGTTTTTCTAATTTTCCCAGTAGTAAGATTAGTCCAAATTACATCCACTATTACTCCAGAATGCAATTTTTAGCACTGTTGCTTCACCTAATTGTAACCCGACAAAACCTGGAGTTCTTTTGTGTGTGTGTGTGTGTGTGTGTGTGTGTATTGTTTTTTTAATTTTGCTTTAAGTTCTGGGGTACATGTGCAGATCTTGCAAGATTGTTACATAGGTATACACTTGCCAAGGTGGTTTGCTGCATCCCTTCCCGCCATCATCTACATTAGGTATTTCTCCTAATGTTATCCCTCCCCAATCTCCGCACCAACTGCCATCCCTCCCCCAGCTCCCCACCCCTCAACAGACCCCAGTGTGTAATGTTCCCCTCCCTGTGTCCATGTGTGCTCATTGTTCCACACCCACTTACGAGTGAGAACATGCGGTGTTTGAAAACCTGGAGCTTTTAAGAAGGAATATAATCTCAGATTTGATGCCTTCTGTTACTAAGGGTGTATGTATGCTTTAAGATTTGGGGATAATATATGTGAACTCTCCAAGATTCCCTGAAACTCTCCCTGAATCTTTCCAGAGGCTTCCTAACTTTTGGGACTGGCCATCGTGAGCAAACCAGAATGTTCTTTGCCCCCTCTTCATCTTGAGAATGCATTCTTGGGGTATTTTTGCTGTGCGTCCATTGGCATTTCCAACACTTAGACTGGAATATATAAGGCAAAAAGAAAACCCAAGGAACTGAATGCCATTTCTTGGGTCCTTAAGTCCTTAGCCAGTCTTTCTTTTACTCGCTTTTCAGGGCCTTACGTTTGTTATGTAATGTCCAGGATTTTTAGGTGAACTTCATGGGAGAAATAGAGAAAAGAATTTGCTTCATCTTTCTGGAAGCAGAAGTCCATGCCAACAGAATTTTAAAACTTTTTATAACTTTTTTTTTTTTACCTGATTTAAATGTTGCCTTTGCATTTTAGCACATAAAAATAAGTTAGTATTTTTATGTCAGCATGGAACATTTTTGGTGTACCTTTCCCACCATGAAATAATATTAATCCTTATAAGCTTGTAGCAATTTCAAATCAAATGTATGAATGTTCGTATGAGATTCTCTGGGTGTGTTTGCTTGGACAGATCATTGCAAACCTCAATCATCTTACAATGGCTCTTTGCTGAGTGTCTGCATGGAAAGAGGATTAGTGCTGCCAGGATCCAGTTAAACATGTCAGAATACCCCACTGGGACATCCTACTTGTTTATAATAGCTATTTCTCAAATCAGGGTTCTAAAAATGGCTTCTCATGAAATGTGATTAATATAGTTTTAAGCTTGCAAGCTTAAATGTCGTAAACTTATCAGTCTCTTTGCACTAGATATTATCTTAATGCAATGCCGTATTTTAAAATATTTTGGAATTTTGAGTCATAGAAGACTTGAGTGAAAATTCTAACACAGTCTCTTTCCA